CTGAGATGTTCCCAGAGAGGTGGAGTCTAAGACCCGACCTGACACATAAACAAACAGGCACACAGACACAAATGGAGGTGAGGTTGAATACACACACCGTCCTCTGGACGCCATGTAGCGTGCCCGCCCCCAAGGCCCTTAAATGAGGCTTAAGACACATGAGTTAATTATGGACAGTAGTGTAGCACAGCTGTGCTCACAGTGTCTCTACAACAGCTGCTGCTGTGAAGCTCAGTGTTGTAACTTCAGTGTAATAAGAAGGATGTCCTCGCTGTAGGAATGCAGAAGAAGCAGAAGAAGCAGTGGAGCGAGGTGGTGGTGATGATCACAGCCAGGCCAGAGGGACGATCAGTCCAGGTGAGAATAATGAAATCTAGGCCAGCTCTGCTGTGTCTCTGTCTTTGTCTTAACCATGTCTGTCCTCTCTCAGCCTTCACCGGCTCCCCACACTACAGCGAGGATTTTGAAGATGACGAGGACGTGAAGGTTCCACTGGAGGAGGTTTGTGCTCAAATCTGCTAAAGTTGAAAAATGTTAGAAACTTTATCAGAAAGTTCATTTTCCAATGAAAAGCACACAGAAGTTCAATAGTATATGCAGTATAACTAAATAACTAAATAATAAATCAGTGTCATGAACACACTTTGTTGAACTTTGTCTGCAAAGTTAAAAACGCTGTAAAAAGAAAAATTAGCTAAACAAACTGGATCTGAGTTCAGCTGGACGTTTGTCCAGGAGAGGGACGTATGATCGTTTAACAGTGACCTCAGCATGACAGGTGGATGTAATAACAGCTGTGTATAGTTAATGTTAGTATTATATCACTTCCTGTTCCAAATGAACGCATATCATGTGACTGTGGCACTGTCACACTTTTTCAGACGTCGACGACGGCTTCAGCTCTTGCCAGAGGTAAGAGACAGGTGACGTTGTGCTGAGGCAGCACACTGAGATGTGTTACTGTCTTCACCAGCAGTGATGACCTTTAGTTCCCATTAAGCCTGTGAGGTCGCCGCTGACGATGTTCTTAATGTAAATTCTTCTTCCAAGTCTCGTCATAATGATTCAGTCTGAAGTACAGATAGTTTAATAAAGGCCGACGTACTGAATCAACTTCTTTACTCAAGTAAAAAACAGGCTCTGAACTGTCCTCAGAGTGAGACAGCACACAGTAACTGACTCTTGTGCTCTATTAATATGATAATAAAATAAAGTACATGAGAATACGAATGTTATTTGAATCTAAGTTCTAGTTGTAATGAATGTACTCAGCTTGACTCTGATATGTAGGACACGTGCAGAGAATTAGAGAACTACAGTGCAGGTAGACCTAAATAGAAAGACGAGTTTAAAGTTGGTGTAACACAGGACACACACACACCTTTCTGATGATGAGTGCATCTAACATGTCCTCAGAGGTCAGTGTGCCATATGACTGCATTAGCAATAAATGTAATAATGCTCTATATTAACAGTTACTCACTATATAAAACCACTTTTATAGATTATATTTGTTCACAGATGTTGGCAGCTGTCAGCGAATAGTTATCAGCTATTTGGAAACAAAAAAGACTTTTTCTCCATAACAGCAAATGAACTGAACAACAGAAAATACAAATGC